AAGAAATTCCCCGACTGTGATAATACACAGATACCAGTACAAATTAGGTCAGAAGCTACAGCTCAGGACCCCGAGTTGATTAGAGTGTCTATGCGACACACAACCTCAGTACAGCGTCGAAAATCACTAAGTCTATACAATGTTCTGTGAACAGAGTTCTACAGAACTAACAAGAATAATAAGACAGACAATCTGTCCAACCACCAAGAGAGTCTAGACCAGACTGAATACTTCAGGCGAGGTGAGGACACCCCCCCTCGATCACGTGATAGCTCCGTGGACAGCTGCAGCTCGGAAACAGAAACAGAAGCCGGCAGTCTAACGAGCCACAAGCGATAATTACAGTAGTTAGACAATCAAGACTTGAACTGAGCACATAATATGTAACATCCTACCTAACAACATAACTAAGTCAAATAATATAAAGCAATACATTTACGATTTAGCTATTATCGCAAATATAAGCAATATAATATTATATGAAAAGGTAAAAATTATATATATACATAATAATCATTGCAACCCATTCAGGGGTTGCAACACACACACACACACACACACACACACACACACACACACACACACACACACACACACACACACACACACACACACACACACACTGGACAACTACCTGAGGTATGGAAGATGGCAAATGTAGTCCCAATTTTTAAGAAAAGAAACAGACACGAGGCATTAAACTACAGACTTGTGTCACTGACGTGTATAATATGCAAAGTCAGGGAGAAGATCATCAGGAGGAGAGTGGTGGAGCACCTAGAAAGACAAGCTTATAAACGACAACCAGCACGGTTTCAGGGAAGACAAAGCCTGTGTCACAAACCTACTGGAGTTTTATGACAAGGTAACAGAAGTAAGACACGAGAGAGAGGGGTGGATAGACTGCATTTTCTTGGACTGCAAATAGGCCTTCGACACAGTCCCTCACAAGAGGTTAATGCAAAAGCTATAGGAACAGGCAAGTATAACAGGAAAGGCACTGCAATGGATCAGAGAATTGCTGACAGGGAGGCAACAACGAGTTATGGCACGTGACGAGGTGTCAGAGTGGGCGCCTGTGTCGAGCGGGGCTCCAAAGGGGTGAGTCCTAGGACCTGTGCTGTTTTTGGTATATATGAATGACATAACGGAAGGGATAGACTCAGAAGCGTCCCTGTTTGTAGATGATGTGAAGTTAATGAGAAGAATTAAATCGGTCGAGGATCAGGCAGGACTACGAAGAGACCTGGACAGGCTACAAGCCTGGTCCAACAACTGGCTCCTTGAATTTAACCCCGCCAAATCCAAAGTTATGAAGATCGGGGAAGGGCAAAGAAGACCGCAGACAGAGTATAGTTTAGGTGGCCAACGACTGCAAACCTCACTCAAGGAAAGAGATCTTGGGGTGAGTATAATACCGAGCACATCTCCTGAGGCGCACATCCATCAGATAACTGGTGCAGCATACGGGCGTTTGGCAAACCTGAGAATAGCTTTCCGATACCTCTGTAAGGACTCGTTCAAGACTCTGTACACCATATACGTCAGGCCCATATTGGAGTATGCAGCACCAGTTTGGAATCCACACCTGGTCAAGCACGTCAAGAAATTAAAGAAAATATAAAGATTTGCAACAAGACTAGTCATAGAGCTAAGGGAATTGTCCTACGAAGAAAGGTTAAGGGAAATCGGCTTGACGACACTGGAGGACAGGAGGGTCAGGGGAGACATGATAACGACATATAAAATACTGCGAGGAATTGACAAGGTGAACAGAGGTAGGATGTTCCAGAAATGGGACACAGAAACAAGGGGTCACAATTGGAAGTTGAAGACTCCTATGAGTCAAAAGGATGTTAGGAAGTATTTCTTCAGTCATAGAGTTGTCAGGAAGTGGAATAGCCTAGAAAATGACGTAGTGGAGGCAGGAACCATACTTAGTTTTAAGACGAGGTTTGATAAAGCTCATGGAGCAAGGAGAGAGAGGACATAGTAACAGTCAGTGAAGATGCGGGGCCAGGAGCTATGA